ACGAGCAGCTCGACCACGCACCAGAAACCAATTGATACCATACAAAAGTTACCAACCGTTGTCAGAACCATTTGCAAACGACCATGTGACTCTGCAGAAGCAATTTTTTCAGCTGCACGGCCTAGAAACGTGTTGACGCCCGTACTGGTCACAACAGCTTCAATTTCTCCCTGCTTTACCACAGATCCAGAATATCCTTCATCTCCTTCATTCTTCGTTACTGGCAAGGATTCACCCGTCAAAGACGATTGATCCACCTTGACTGCATCACCCTCGAGGAATTTGAGATCAGCCGGAATCACATCACCCAATCGCACACGGATAACATCACCAGGTACCAATAAATCAGCAGGAATATTCTTTATCTCGCCATCACGAAACACTTTGGCTTCTGGGGCTAGTTGGCCCATCAACGCTGACACGGCATCACCAGCTTGTACTTCTTCTAGATAGCCAATGCAAGCATTTAGAAGTAACAGGAATAAAATCAATGCAAAATCAGCGTAATCTAATAGCACAATTGACAGCACAGCAGCCACTTCCATGGCCCATGAAAGGGGGTTCCACATGAAGCCTAAGAAGAGCGTCAATTTGTTCACTTTTTCCTCAGGAAGTTTATTTGGACCATACTCAGCTAAACGCCTTTCAGCTTCATTCGATGTCAGACCTTCCCGGCCAGTCTTGAGCTTGTCTAAAGCGGCATTAAGTGGCACCTGCGCCCATTGAATTTGACCAACTTCGTTTGTATAATTCTTCACGTCATTTGGTGTCGCCAGAGACATAAATGAGTTACGTGCAGCACGAGTCATTTCTCAAATGTCTTTGATGCGGAGCTTTCAGCTTCGTCAATAAACAAAACACTTTTTGATAGAAAGTGGTGTGGTGCTTCTGAGCACGTCCGAGAAAGTGAGGAACTTGGAGAATGAACGCAATGATTTGAGATTTCAAGTCCTGCCTTCCCGCTTCTGAATCATTTGGTTCTCGTCTTGCTCTAACACACTACAAGGCTGATTCCAGGTG